GGTTGAGCTATAGGCGCCGAGCCAAAAGTCAGTTCTTTAGAGATTACATAAAACTGAAAAGAAACAAGAAATCTTCCAGTGTCTTTTCTTCCCCAGCAGTATGTATGAAGTTAACCTATAAATGAGTATAAGAATCCGAGTAGTTGATAGGCCCACAGTGGTAACAGTGCTGACAGACGGCCTGCCCTAGTAGTTTGTGTTTCCCTGACTGTGGCTCTGCTTCCCGTGGCTCTAGGAGTCAAAGCAGGAGACATTACTTTTTATTCTGTGAGCCTCCTGGTTGTGCCGTGGTAGGGTGATCAAAGGCAAATTAAGATACCCTCTGTTACTGGCCATACTAATGATCTGCCAGCAGCTTTTTGCTTGTTTATTTGGGGTCTAGGAGACCCTTACTCTAAGACTGTGGCTGGGAAGAGAGGTTTCACTCAGCCACTGCTAGAGGGGAAAAAGAAGTACTACATTTAACATAGGCAAAAACCTTTTTTCCTCTTTTTTGGTTCCCTGGGTAGGTTTCATTTATCCACATAATAGCAGTTTTTTCTTTGGGGCCACGTTGTGTAGTGCTCCAACAGGTCTCTCCACTCTGCAGTGCTCATGGCTACAGAAACATCTTGTGATATGTGGAGATTGGGTAATTCCCTTAAAAACCTGGATGTTTAGGGCCCTGGCCTGGGTGGAAGGAGGAGGTGGGACTAAGGAAGGCCCCGTCAGGTGACCAGCGTAATTGGATATCTGTGTTAAGACTTTATTTCCCAAAACAAGGATAAGCCATTAAGGGACTTGTCCAGCCCCATTACTGGGCAGCTCTGCAGCTTGCAAAGAAGAGTGGGAGCCTCATTGCCTCGTGTTCCGTTGAGGCTGTGACCCTCCACCTTCCTCCCCATGCTTTTTCTCTCCAGGAAGCCAGGGCATCGCTCCTGAAGGTGGGGCAGGGTCCCGAGATAGCTGAGAGCGGGCTGTGAAGTGAGACAGGGCCTGACCTTGCCCCTCACACCCCCACCCACACTCTTTTTGGCAAAACTGGCTGTCTTGGAGTGCACAGCCTTGCAGGGAGCATTGCTCATTAGCAACCTTTTTAACTGTGTTTGGCTTTGTAATAAAATGGCATGGAATTTAAAATTTGATTTTTTACCTAAGTATCTTATGTTGGTATATCCTTGCTGTGGATGGTGGATCTTTTTTGGTCAGAATTAAGAGGATACAAATGGAAGAGATTCTTCTGAAAACCTTTATTATGTGTTTAGAACCAACTAGTCTATTTTAAGACTCATGACTTCTGTTGTTTGTTTTGAATAAAACACCTGAACACATTTTCTGGCTTACAGTCTAAGTGGAGACCCGGATATTTGAAACTTGGACCATACGAAAAATATAAAACGGAATGTCACTGCTTTAATAAATCATGTGGAAATTCAGTGGCAAATGCTAGAACTGATGGCAGGATGGAAAGGAAGTTTTCTCATTTTCACATTAGCAGACTTTTGGTTCTTTTCCTAAATGACATTGCAAACATCCTGCCAGTTCTCCCGGATAGGGAGTTAACTTGAACTACAGGAGAGATTTCCAAGGCCCTCTGAGCTTTCAGCTCAAATCTCCTGTCTTCACAAGGCCTTTCTGTTCCCCAGGATGGCAGAATTAATACAAATATGAGGAGTACTTGGCTAACAATCTTGATGGGTCTGGCAGAAGAAATGCCAGTCTGTTTGCTGCCCAGGGTGCAGCTCTGGGCTTGGTAGTTCTAGGCTAGACATAGGCCCTTGGGCCTTCAGGGCATGCTGGCCATTTGACACCTAGATTTCGAGGGCCAGATTCACATTATGCTGATGTCAAATGTCCCCTTGCCACTGGTGGATGGGACACAGAGGTCAGAGGGCTCAGATTCCCCTCCAGTGCTTCTTTTCCCCAGTGCTATCCCTGTCTCCCAGCTGGGCTTCTGTTAGTAGGAGCCTTCCACCCCTGTGCCCCTGGGGACATTGGCCCCTGGAAAGGGAAATGAGGCCATCTACTGGCGTCCCGTTTCTTACCCCCAACCCGGCCCTGAGCATCCTGTGCTCTTCAGGATCCCAGTGGTTTTAGACCACCTGCAAATCGTGCCACGAGCTGACTGCAGTTCTGCATCTAAGTCCTGCATTATGGTCACAATTGACATGCTTGTATATTGCCATATTTCTCCAGTGTATTCTTTTTTTTTTTTTTT